ACTATATGGGCCAACCATAGCATTGATTAAAAAGCAGATGTCTCTTCTTTTTAATATGTGGTCTAGGTTGGTCATACTTTTTCTTGCAAGGAGCAAGTGTCTTTTATTTCAAGGATACAGTCACCATCCACCATGATTTTTGAAGCCCAAGAAAATAAAGTCTGTCACTGTTTTCCACATTTTCCCCATCTATTTGCCATGAAGTGATGGGACCGGATGCCATGATCTTGGTTTTTTGAGTGTTGAGTTTTAAGCCAGGTTTTTCACTCTCCTCTTTCACCTTCATCAAGAGGCTCTTCATTTCTTCTTCATTTTCTGCCATAAGGGTGGTATTATCTGTGCATCTGAGGTTATTGATGCTTCTCCCAGCAATCTTGATGCTAGCTTGTACTTTATGCAGTCCGGCATTTCACATGATGTACTCTGAATATAAATTAGGCAGGGTGACAGTACACAGCCTTGACATACCCCTTTCCCAATTTTGAACCAGTCCGTTGTTCCATGTCCAGCTCTAACTGCTGCTTCCTGACCTGCACACAGGTTTCTCAGGAGGCAGGTGAGGTGGTCTGGTATTCCCCTCTCTTTAAGAATTTTCCACAGATTGTTATGATCCACACAGTCAAAGACTTTAGCATAGTCAGTGAAGCAGAAGATACTTTTCTGGAATTCTCTTGCTCTTTTTCTGTGATCCAGCGGATGTTGGCAATTTGAGCTCTGGTTCCTCTGCCTTCTCTAAATTCAGCTTGTACATCTGGAAGTTCTCGTTTCACGTGCTATTGAAGCCTCACTTGGAGAATTTTGAGCATTACTTTACTAGCGTGTGAGATGAGTGCAATTGTGCAGTAGTTTGAGCATTCTTTGGCACTGTCTTTGTTTGGGATTGGAATGTAAACAGACCTTTTCCAGTCCCATGGCCACTGCTGAGTTTTCCAAACTTGCTAGCATATTGAGTGCAGCACTTCGACAGCATCACCTTTTAGGATTTGAAATAGCTCAACTGGAATTCCATCACCTCCACTAGCTTTGTTCCTAGTGATGCTTTCTAAGGCCCACTTGACTGCATACTCCAGGATGTCTGGCTCTAGGTGAGTGATCACACCATCATGGTTATCTAGGTCATTAATATCTTTTTTGGCATGGTTCTTCTTTGTATTCTTGTCACCTCTTCTTAATATCTTCTGCTTCTGTTAGGTCCATACCATTTCTGTTCTTTATTGTTCTTTATTATTCTGTTCCATCTTTGCATGAAATGTTCCCTTGGTATCTCTAATATTCTTGAAGACATCTCTAGTCTTTCCCATTCTATTGTTTTCCTCTATTTCTTTGCATTGATCACTTAGGAAGGCTTTCTTATCTCTCTTTGCTGTTCTTTGGAACTCTGCATTCAGATGGATATATCTTTCCTTTTCTCCTTTGCCTTTCACATCTCTCCTTTTCTCAGCTATTTGTAAGGCCTCCTCAGTCAACCATCTTGCCTTTTTGCATTTCTTCTTCTGGGGGATGGCTTTAATCATCACTTCCTGTATAATGTTATGAACCTCTGTCCACAGTTCTTCAGGTACTCTATCTATCTGATCTGATCCCTTGAATCTATTTGTCACTTTCACTGTATAATCATAAGGGATTTTATTTAGGTCATACCTCAGTAATCTAGTGGTTTTCCCTACTTTCTTCAATTTAAGTCTGATTTTTGCAATAAGGAGTTCATGATCTGTGAGCCACAGTCAGCCTCCAGTCTTGTTTTTGCTGACTGTGTAGAGTGTCTCCATCTTCAGCTGCAAAGAATATAATCAATCTGATTTTGGTATTGACCATCTGGTGATGTCCATGTGTAGAGTCCTGTCTGTGTTGTTGGAAGAGGGTGTTTGCTATGACCAGTGCGTTCTCTTGGCAAAACTCTAATAGCATTTGCCCTGTTCATTTTGTTCTCCAAGGCCAAACTTGCCTGTTACTCCGGGTATCTCTTGACTTCCTACTTTTGCATTCTAGTCCCCTATGATGAAAAGACATCTTTTTTTAGTGTTAGTTCTAGGAGGTTTTGTAGGTCTTCATAGAACCATTCAACTTCAGCTTCTTCAGCATTACTGGTCGGGGCACAGACTTGGATTACCATGATATTGAATGGCTTGCCTTGGAAACAGAGATCATTCTGTCATTTTTGAGATTGCACCCAAGTACTACATTTTGGACTCTTTTGTTGGTTATGAGGGCTACTCCATTTCTTTTAAGGGATTCTTGCCCATAGTAGTGGATATAATGGTCATCTGATTTAAATTCACCCATTCTGGTCCATTTCAGTTCACTGATTCCTAAAATGTTGCTCTTCACTCTTGCCATCTCCTGTTTGACCACTTCCAATTTACCTTGATTCATGGACCTAACATTCCAGGTTCCTATGCAGTATTGCTCTTTACAGCATCACCAGTCACACCCACAACTGGGTGTTTTCACTTTGGCTCAGCCTCTTCATTCTTTTTGGAGCTATTTCTCTACTCTTCTCTGGTAGTATTGGACACTTACCAACCTGGGGAGTTCATCTTTTAGTGTCATATCTTTTTGCCCTTTCATACTGTTCATGGGGTTCTCAAGGCAAGAATACTGAAGTGGTGTACCATTCTGTTCTCCAGTAGACCATGTTTTGTCAGAACTCTCCACCATGATCCCATCCATCTTGGGTGGCCAGCAAGCATACTCCTTGGTATTTACGCAGAGAAGAGGATAGCTTAAGTTCACACAAATACCTGTACACAGATGTTTATAACAGCTTTGTTTATAATTGCCAAAACTTGGAAGCCACCAAGGTGTCTTTCAGTAGGTAAATGGATAAATAAACTCTAGTATATGGAATGGAATATTGGAATATTATTCAGTATATTCAGTGAATTTTATGGAATATTATTCAGTATAGAATAATGAGCTATGAAGCCATGGGGGAGCCTTAAATATGTATTGATAAGTGAAAGAAGTCAGTCTGAAAAGGCTACACACTATATGATTCCAAACATATGACATTCTGGAGCAGAAACTATGAAGACAGTGAAAAGATCAATGGTTATCAAGGGTTGAGAGGGAAAATGAAGAGAAAGATGAGATTTTTAGGGCAGTGAAACTACTCTGTATGATACTATAATGGGGGATAAATACCATGATTCATTTGTCAAAACCAAAAAAATGTACAACATAAAGAGTGAAATATAAATGTAAATTATGAACTTTAGCTACTAATAATGTATCAGTATTTGTTCATCAGTTTTCAGGAATGTGCCACATCAATGCATGATGTTAATAATAGGGGAAACTTGGTGAGTAGGGCTGAGTATATGGGAATAAAAGTTATTTCTCTCTGCGCATTTTTGAATATGCCTAAGACTGCTTTAAACAATAAAGTCTATTTTCTTTTGGAAAAACACCATCATAGGAAAAAGTAATCATTTAGATGTATTGTAATTTTAAAACTTTTATTCATCAAAAGAAATTAAGAGAATGAAAAGGCAAGATATAAAGTGGGAGAAGATAATTTATGTATATAAGTCACACAGAGAACTCATATCCAGAGTGTATAAAGATTTCTTGTAACTCAATAAGAAAAAAATTGACTTTTTTTTTAAAAGAAATCCTCAATGACATGAACATAATTATGAAAGAGTATATACAAATGGTCAGTGAACATGAAAATGTGTTCAACATCATTAGTTATCGGGAAAATTCAAGTTGAAAACATAACAGAATATCTCTACACACATCCTAGAAGGGCTAAAATTTAAGAGGTTGATGATACAGATTTTAGGATATAGAGCAACAGAAACTCCTGGAATGCTTGAGAGTGTGAACTGGTAAAACTACTTTGGAAGTTTCGTTGCCAGTTAAATTAAGCATATGTCCACCCCGTGATTAAGCAATTCAACCCCTAGGTGTAAATCCAAAAGAAATGCATACATATGAGCCTGAAAGATAATTACAAGAATATTCTCAGTACATTATTCTTAGTAGCACCAAACTGGAAGCAACCCAAATGTCTATTAACAGTAGAATGGATAAATAAAGTGTGGCATGTATTGCTATGTAGCAGTGTAAAGAACTATTTCTGTGTGCAACACCTATGTATGTCAAAAGATGTAACATTTAGCAACAAAAAGATTACATACTATAGCATCTCATTTATATAAAGTTAAAAAACAGGCAACCTAAATTTATGGTAAGAGAAATCTGTGTAGTGATGCCTTTGAGGCTGGGAGCACACCTCTGTAGTATTGGTAATGTTCAACAGTATGATAATCAAGTTATAAACCTAAGATGTGCGCCCTTTTGGGTCCACATGTCAAATTTAGATAAGGAGAACAAAATATTTATGGCTGCCTAAATCAACCAACTGTAAATTAAAGCCATCAAATTTCTTAGGTTACTTTTCATCCTGTCTTTGCAATAAAGATGGAATTATTTCTTCAACACAACCAGTCAGATGAGGCCACAGTACTTGAATCTTGAAGCTAACATATAATGATCTCTAATTTATAAGACTCCAAGCTATGGTTCTTTACTCTAAGATAAATGACAAGGACTTTCTTGTATCACGTTTCACTCTTATTTAAGCAGTCCAATGTACTTCTTGTGCCCCACAAATTATTAATAATAGTAACTAATATTTTAGGGATCCTTACCATGTACTAGTACCATAATGAACACTGGTATGCAGTAGCATATTTACAAGTCTCCTACTAACCCTAAGAGATAGATACTACTAAGCTACTTTACAGTTGAGAAAATAAGGTAAGAAAACTTAATAAAATTTTCCAAGGTCATTGTATCAGTCAGTAATCTTAGTTATATTTTTTAAAAAGCCAAAAGTTGAAGCAGAAAAGAAGGTGTTAAAAGGTGACTGGATAACTCCCGGAGGTGCCAGCATGGACGGGTTGAGAGCGGTGCAGTCGTGGACAGTACTCCAGATCCAAGACGTGGACAGCTGCTGGTCAGCTCTGGGCAGTGTGAGCTACTCTGCCCACCCTGGAACCGGACGCAGCCAGCAGTAGGACCGCCCTGCTGGAGCTTCCTGTGACGCTGCCCGTGTTGCAGCAGGAGGATGACCCTCCGCTCCTCCTGCACCAGTCACGGGAAGAGCACACCATTCATGACCTGGGACAAAAAAGGGATTTATACACACTTCTAAAATCACAGGTCCAGGGGTGGTGAGTGGGGATTTGAGCCCAGCCAGCCGGGTGCCAACATCCAGGGCCTCAGCTGCCATGCTAGGCTGCCTCCAAATGAGTGATGGGAGTTTATCATTTTAAAGACCAGGGAAGGCAAGCAAGTATCAAAATGGCCAGCAGCACCCCATGCCACCATATCCTGTAGATCAGAAAGCGTTAGCCACTTGCTGCTTGACTAATTTAGAAAGACAGGGTAAAACTACTCATATGCCATGTGGGCTTCTGAAATCACCAAGTGCTTTAATAAAGGCAGGTCGGGAGGATCTGGCATGACAACTCATCAAGAGCTGTCGCTGCCCCATGTGGGGCCATGTGGCTGCCTGCTGACTCAAACTGGTCTGGGGGGGTTGCCTCTGAATCACCAAGACCACATCCTGCCCCTCCCTCATTTTTTCCCCTGGAAGCTGCCCATCAGTTTTCTTGCTGAGATCTCCACCCAAAGCATGGGGTGCAGGTATTTGCACCAAATGCCTGTGAATGTCTAAGAAGTCCCATTTTCCAGCAACATTTGGCCCTGGTTGTTTCAGTGGCATCTATGTGTGAAGTTACTATGACTAAGTGTGAAACTGATAGTCTGTGCGTGAAGACTCAGGGCTCAATTCAGATCATTTATTTAGTTTCCACTGTGTTTTGGTGGACACACACCAGCATGTAACATCACATATACTTGCCTTCAACCATTTTTTATTGCTTATTTGACCTAAAAGAAAATTCTTAATCAAAATGCCAACTAGATAGTAACTTGGGAGAAATATGTCCTTTTCGAGAATGGTGTCACAGACACACATTCATTATAGCCAAAAACTAAGCAGGCATCTCATCCTGCTCTGATTCATTTTGGGAAAACATGTGGTAGGCGATTCATAATCCTCGCCCATTTACTTTCAAATACAGAGTAAGAGGAAAGGGCAATTTTCTGTCTGTCTTTTCTTTTTTCTGTAAAGGCATTTTACTAAAATTAGTATCTGTTGGGGCTTTTTTGGTTTTGTTTTGTTTGGGGTTTTTTGGGTTTCCACTGAAGGTAGTAGTGGGAGTTAGGATCAGAGAGGCTGAAAAGTCATCAGTAGATGGAGGAATTTGAAAGTTCAGATGAAGGAGTCAGAACTTTACTCTGTAGGCAGCAAGTAATCCATAGAAGTTTTTAAATTTTATTTTTAAGTCAAATACAACAAATCAAAAAATGTGGAAGTCAGGTGTAAATTTAATTTACAAAATGACAAGGCAAAATTTGTGCAACCAGCATATGTGACAGGATGGGGGTGGTAGCTAACATTATAGTGGTCATCATTTTGTGATTTATAAATGTATCAAATCAACAGATTATACACGTTAAACATATACAATGGCATAAGTCAATTACATCTCAACAAAGCTGGAAATAAAAAAGAAAAGAGAAATAGAAGACTGCCAGCACCTCAGAAACTTTCTTAGTGACATTTTTTTTTTTATTATGAGAATATAGAAGAGCATGAAACACTTACATTCAGTTTAACATGCCATCACCGTCAAGGTAAAAAAGTCTAAGGTCAGTCACATCCTAAAGTCTCCTTGAATTTACCTTCCCCATCACAACTCCCTTCCTCTTCCCCCACCCACGATAATCACTAGCCTAACATTTGGGGAAATCATTTTATTTTCTTGCTTTTCTTTATGGTTTTACCCCCTAGGTATGCATCCCTAAATCAGGTAGTATAGTTTTGCCTTTTTTGAACCTAGTTTAAACAGAATCATGCTTTTTGTTTTCTTGGTTTTTTGCTTCTTGTACCCAACAGTACTTTTTGAGAGTCATCTATGTTGACATTTGTATTTAATAAGTGAAGTCGCTCAGTCGTGTCCGACTCTCTGCGACCCCGTGGACTGTAGCCCACCAGGCTCCTCCATCCATTGGATTCTCCAGGCAAGAAGAGTGGAGTGGGTTGCCATTTCCTTCTCCAAATGTATTTAATAGTCCTTTGCTTTCTTTATTGTAAATGAATTCTTTATCCGTGCTGCAGTTTTTACACAGTGGGTTGTTTCCAGCTTGGGGCTGTTACAGAGCTATGGCATATGTGTGCATGGGTATATCTGTGCCTGTCTATAAGTATTCATAGTATAAGGCTGAACTCAGGGAGAAAAGAATTAAGGGGGAGGGAGAGTTAGTCAGAGGCTCAATTGTATAATGTTTAACATTTGAACTTGGTGATTAACAAAAGGAGTAAGAGACAATAGATTCCTAGCAGTTCACAAGTAGAAGGTATGTTCATTTACAGTTTTCAGAGATGCTATTAAATTTCCTTTTTAAAAGGCTTTGTCAATGGACACTCTTACCAGAGGCTTTGTGTGTGAATAAAGATGCCCATTCCTCTTTATTTTTGCTAACTTTTAATAGTATCCAAAATTATCAGAAAAAGCTAAGATCTCAATTTTGTTTCCCTAATTATTAATGAGTTTGAACATTTCCATACACACTTTGCATCACATTGTTATGTTTTGTGTTGTGGCTCTTTAGTCGCTCAGTCGTGTCCAAATCTCTGTGACCTCCTGCACTGCAGCACGCTAGGCTTCCTGCCCTTCACCCTCTCCCGGAGTCTGCTCAAACTCATGCCAACTGAGTCAGTGATGCCATCCAACCATCTCATCCCCTGTCATCCCCTCTTCCCCCTGCCTTCAATCTTTGCAAGCATCAGGGTCTTTTCCTATGAACTGGCTCTTCACATCATGTGGCCAAAGTATTGAAGCTTCAGTTTCAACATCAGTCCTTCCGATGAATATTCAGCGTTGATTTCCTTTAGGATTGACTGGTTCAATATCCTTGCAGTCCAAGAGACTCTCAAGAGTCTTCTCCAGCACCACAATTCAAAAGCATCATTTCTTCAGCACTCAGCCTTCTTTGCGGTCCAACTCTCACATCCATATATGGCTACTGGAAAAAACATAGCTCTGACAGTATGGACTTTTATCAGTAAAGTGATGTCTCTGTTTTTTAATGTCCTATGTACTTTTGTCACAGCTTTTCTTCCAAGGAGCAAGTGTCTTTTATTTCAAGGATACAGTCACCATCCACCATGATTTTGAAGCCCAAGAAAATAAAGTCTGTCACTGTTTTCCACATTTTCCCCATCTATTTGCCATGAAGTGATGGATCGGATGCCATGATCTTAGTTTTTTGAATGTTGAGTTTTAAGCCAGGTTTTTCACTCTCCTCTTTCACCTTCATCAAGAGGCTCTTTATTTCTTCTTCATTTTCTGCCATAAGGGTGGTATTATCTGTGCATCTGAGGTTATTGATATTTCTCCCAGCAATCTTGATGCTAGCTTGTACTTTATGCAGTCTGGCCTTTCACATGATGTACTCTGAATATAAATTAAATAAGTAGGGTGACAATACACAGCCTTGACATATTCCTTTCCCAATTTTGAACCAGTCCATTGTTCCATGTCCGGTTCTAACTGTTGCTTCTTGACCTGCATACAGGTTTCTCAGGAGGCAGGTGAGGTGGTCTGGTATTCCCCTCTCTTTAAGAATTTTCCAGATTGTTGTGATCCACAGTCAAAGGCTTTGGCATAGTCAGTGAAGCAGAAGTAGATGTTTTTCTGGAACTCTCTTGCTTTTTCTATGATCCAGCGGATGTTGGCAATTTGAACTCTGGTTCCTCTGCCTTCTCTAAATCCAGCTTGTACATCTGGAAGTTCTCGTTTCACGTGCTGTTGAAGCCTTGCTTCAAGATTTTTGAGCATTACTTTGCTAGCGTGTGAGATGAGTGCAATTGTGCAGTAGTGTGAGCATTCTTTGCGATTGCCTTTCTTAGGGATTGGAACGAAAACAGACCTTTTCTGGTCCCGTGGCCACTGCTGAGTTTTCCAAACTTGCTGGCATATTGAGTGCAGCACTTTCACAGCATCATCTTTTAGGATTTGAAATAGCTCAACTGGAATTCCATCACCTCCACTAGCTTTGTTCCTAGTAATGCTTCCTAAGGCCCACTTGACTTCACACTCCAAGATGTCTGGTTCTAGGTAAGTGATCACACCATCGTGGTTATCTAGGTCATTAATATCTTTTTTGGTATGGTTCTTCTTTGTATTCTTGTCACCTCTTCTTAATATCTTCTGCTTCTGTTAGGTCCATACCATTTCTGTTCTTTATTATTCTGTTCCATCTTTGCATGAAATGTTCCCCTGATGTCTCTAATATTCTTGAAGAAATCTCTAGTCTTTCCCATTCTTTTGTTTTCCTCTATTTCTTTGCATTGATCACTTAGGAAGGCTTTCTTATCTCCCCTCCTGTTCTTTGGAAGTCTGCATTCAGATGGGTATATCTTTCCTTTTCTCCTTTGTCTTTTGCATCTCTTCTTTTCTCAGCTATTTGTAAGGCCTCCTCGGTCAACCATTTTGCCTTTTTGCATTTCTTTTTCTTGGAGATGGTTTTGATTACTGCCTCCTGTACAGTGTTACAAACCTTCATCCATTGTTCTTCAGGCACTCTATCAGATCCAATCCCTTGAATCTATTTGTCACTCCCACTATTTGTGTATGTACTACCTATTCATATTCTTTGCTCATTTTTCTATCAGCTGTTTCATGACTTCTTGATTGGGAGAACTCAGTAAATTTTGAGTATTAATCCCTTTATTATCTCTGTTGTAGATAATATATTTTACCTGTCCATTGTCTCTCTTTGTTCACAGTCTTGTGCTGAACATAAATTTTTAATTTGTATATATGATGGCTTTGAGCTGTTAACAGTATCCAGTTATTCAACCATATGCTAATCTTGATTTTGCTGTAAAAGTATTTTAAGATGTAATTAAAGACACTAATCAGTTGACTTTAAGTAAGGGAGATTATCGTGGACAATTGATGGGGTGGGTGAGGGGAGGGTGTTGCTGATTCAATCAGTTGAAAAGCCTTAAAAGCAGAACAGAGGCTTTTTCCAGAAGGAGAAAATATAGTTCCAGTCTGCTTGTGATGTTCTCTTCCTGAAGATCTGCTTTACTGATTTCAAATTTTCTTAGTCAACACCCCAAATTACACACACACACACACACACACACACCTACATGCTTTTCCACTTCTCAGGTTGAACTCTGAGTGATACAGTGTAAAACTCTTACATGGCCTGTTCATTTCATTTATAGCATTCAGGTTTCATATCTTACTGAGCTAGGCTTCATACTAAGATGTGTGTAAATAAAGTTCATGCAGCATTGGTTCAGTTCAGTCACTCAGTCGTGTCTGACTCTTTGCGACCCCATGAATCGCAGCACGCCAGGCCTCCCTGTCCATCACCAA